TTCTAACAAGGAATTTTTTTTTTATGTTCATTTATCTTACCAAAAAATTATATAAGAAGTTTCTTCATCTCATTCATTTAAAAAAACAAAGTGTCTTCATTTATTGATCTCTAAAAGCACGTATTACTTTCCAATGTTCAAAAAAGCGCTAGGCGCTAAGCGGGCGGTGACCCAATGTCTAGTGCCTAGAACGCCTAATCGGAGCTTAGACGATTTAATAGGTGGTCTAAACGTTTTACAAAAATACATAATATATTAGATATATATATATAATAAAATATATAAAAATCATAATTTATAACTAACAAAATTTATATTATATTTATATTCATCATTTTATAATCAAATATATAAAATTTTATGATTTATATATGCGAAAATTTATATTATTTTATTATTATAGTACCATAATATTTTAGGCGGTAAAAAGCGGTAATCGTCACAGTTTATAGGACCCTAACACCTAAGCGCCGTCTAGGCGAACACCAAAAATTCTAGCTTCTGATGTGTAAATGACAAAACTTATTTTTTGGGCAAACTTTTTACTTACTTTTTTAATTCGACAACTCTCTTTTCCTTCCTACTAAAAATTGCTAAGCTTTATTAGTTATTATCAGTCATCGTCGAATCAAAATTCCAATACATTTTTTATCCACCACACATCATTTTGCTTTTGTTTTCAAGTTTTGACTTATGTTTTTGGCAATTTGTCTCTTCTCATTGTCTTAATATATTACAATAAATAATTAGGAAAGAAACAAAAAGAAGAGAACAAAGCTGGAAAGTGAAGTATAAGAGTAGGAGACCTGACAGCTAATGACAACCAATAAACCGGTCCAACTTGTTTCCAAAATTTCCTAGAAATTTATATGCATGGTATCGGATTTATATTGGGTTATGATACAACGAAAACACCATCTTGCGTCTAATCTTTTTTCTTTCTTTACAATCATTTTTTTAATTCATATTTAGATTAACTATTATTGTTGTGATTAAAAAACTGCTTAGTAATTCAAGATCTTGGTATTTTAGTTATATTAGAGAGCCACTCCAGAAGTGTCAATATCTTAAAATTTATATGGCATACAAAATTCTCCACCAAAAAAAAATATATGGCATACAAAATTATTCCTTTGATAGTGTATTTGTTTTGTAGAAGATTAGTGAAGAAGTGATGATTCTTTGAAATATTTTATTAACTAATAGAATAATTTAAAGCTAAAAATATTGTTGGAAAATGATATTTCTAATTTTATGATAAGTTACATCTGCAATAGGGTTTCTATT